ACAGGAGCAACACACCCCAAAAAAACCACCCCCCAAAAAAAACGCATTATTTGAGCCGGTCATTTTTTTGGTCCCGGCCTGAATAAGGAAAAAAAACGCATTAAAGACGCCCAAATTACTAAATGAGCCGCCACATTACATGGGAAGACAATTAGGCTATTTTGGGGCCAGGCACGGCCCATTTCAATTTTTTAGTGTCCTCGACATTCTTTAACAGTTTGAAAGGCCTGTGGCTCTCAAAGTTTCAAGGGTTTCGGGGATGCTCAAAGTGTTTTTACATTGGAACGCGCCGGTGGTTTTCAAAGTTGTAGCGATTCTCCGGACTTTGAGGAGCCCTGTCCATATTTAAACGGCCTGTGGCTTTCTATTCTGTGAGGGGCCTTAATAAGGGTTTTCAGGACGTTCAAGGGGCGCCCCTAAATATGAATTTTGAGTGGCCTCTTATTCTCAGCAAATCTGAAGGCTCCTGGACGCTTCCGCTTCGCCCGACGAGGCCAAAGAGCTGGTGCGGAGGCCCTGCGCACAAAAGGGGACTCTGTTGGGACTGACGAAGAGGAGTCCATAGGGATGTATACCCTGAGATTTGGGATGTGTGATGACCTGGTGTAGCGCTGTGGCGTCTGGGCTCGCTTACGAGCCAGGTTCGCCTACCTTGGCCAGTCTCCGGATCTCTGTGATGTCGAAGAGAACAACCAGAATAGCATCCAGAACTGCAAGCAGCTCAATGGCTTCTCCGGCAAGTTGTGTAGGCTATAATTACTCGCAGAAAGGGCAGAGCACCGCGTGGCAGGTGCTCCCGCCTACTTCGACGGTGGCCTGGTGGAGATGAAGACGCTGGGCAGCCACAAGGCAGGGCAAAAGCGAAGGACCCATCGCCAGGCCGCCTGGGTTCCTTGTCAGGTGGTGAGCACTCGAAACAACGACTTCTCGAATCGCTCGCACAAGGCCCCGAAACTGCCTTCAGAGCCTTAAGACCGCTGATGCGAAACGCCGCTCTCCAGCGACGCGGCAATGAAACGGATGACTCGCAAGAATCGACGCTTCACGCCTCGTCAAAGGCCACCATCCTGGTGGTTCCTCGCAGCTGGAGCTGGCAAGAGGCCCGCAAATCGGAACCGCGGCGGCTCCGCCTTCATCTCCTCTCCGCATTGCTCTCAGGTGTTGCTGCTGGTCGCGGGACTGGCAGCCGCCATGGGCTTGCTCGCCTACCTCTCCCTGGCCGCCCGGGGCCCCACAGTGCACACCGCAGCACGCAGCACGCAGCGGCCCAGACCGCGTTCTGCAGCTGAGGTCTACGCCTTGAAGCACCCGAAGAGTTGGCTCTTCTCCAGGAGGAGCGAGACTGCAGAGCGGAGCGGAGCGACTCTCACAGACAGGGAGCGGCTCTCGGGCCCCCCGGGCCCCCCCGGCCCCCCCCCCCCCAACTCTCGCGAGGTACCGCCCGCGCGTCCTGCGTGGCCGGCTGAGAGAGCGCGCACGCACGCTTTTTTTTTGTGGAGCCTCTTCTAGTGCGCTCCGCTCGCCGCAGCGTGCGCAGCTCCTGAGGTTACCTGGTGGGTCAGCAGAGGCTGCAGGATCAGATCCAAAAGCGAAAGGCCTCCTTGCACGAATGGATTGATGGACGTGGACCGACTTTGCGACTTCGGAGTGCAGAGAGGAGTGGAAGCTGCAAGAGCAGCAGCGATGGAAGAATCTGGATGGCCCAGGCCCACTCTTGGAGAGTTGTCTGCAGACATCTGACATGTTGACCTCGCCAGGTCCCAACGAGCCCGAGGAGGTGGGGGAGAAGTTTTTTAGGGGGGCGCCTTTGTGGGGTGCGGGCTCTGTGCACACCTTCTCTAAACCCGCTCTCCAGAGCTTCGGCGGCAGGCGCTGGCCGACGCTGAGGCGCCAAGGCGAGGCGCCTGAGTGGGAGAGTGGTAGCATGATCTTCCATTTTTAGGTCGAGATAAGTCAGAAAAGATGTGGCAGGGCATAAGGCCATTGCATTGAGTCGCCGAGGTCAAAGCCGTCGCGGTGCTACCGGTGCCTCTTGGCCATCGGCCTCGGCGAAGGCCATGATGCGGCTGCCATGGGGCCCTGGCCTGCGAGGGTTCCTGAGCTGGCGGCGCAGGACAGCGCCTGGTGATGATCTGCTTGATCCTCCTCAACGTCGCTTCCTTCGCCTGGGGCTTCTTCCTTCACCTGGGCACCGCGGCCTAATTCAAGACAGAGTGAGAGAGAGAGAGAGAGAGAGAGAGAGAGAGAGACAGAGAGAGAGAGAAGCGAGCAGCGCGAGGAGGGCATGTCTCGCTGCGTCTCGCGCTGCTTTCCGCCTCGGCGAGGCCTGGGCTTCGAGGCGACGGTGGCCTACCCCATGGCCAAGGGCGCCGGCTTCGCGCTCGGGGCCCCGGGGGCGCGGAGAGCTCACGCTTCTGTGTAGACTCTTAGAGAAGCTGTCATGTCTACAACTGAAGCAACGTGGCGATCCTTTCAGAGCGAACCCCGTTCGAAGCCTCTGCGGTGGAGACGCCACAGGGGTGAAGGGCAAAACGCAGCCTTATGGGACCTGGCAAGGACGGAGTATACTGCAGAGTAGATGGGGCATCGAAGGATCTGATTGTGAGAGTCTGTGCAAGCGCAAGTCACCGTCAAGTCCTCGAGGCTGGACCTGGACCTGGCCCTGCTCTTGCTGCCCACCCTCAAGAGCTTACAGACGGCCGGGGGAAATTGAAATGCCGCTTCCGCGTCTTCTTTCGCTCTTGAGAGAGGGCTATCCGCAGAGTTGGGCGCCTGTTTCTCTTCGGGAGGCTTTACGTGGTAAAGGAGGCAAGGCACGGGAGCCGGGGGTCCCAAAGGGCAGAAGCCGCAGAAGGAGCTGCGGACGAACCCCTCGCTCTCTTCCGAGGTGGATGCCTCTGGACGACCCCATCTCCTTCCACATCGCCGTGGCGACGCTCATCGCGGTGAACAGCTGCATCCACGTCCGGGCCTCGGGGGCGGCGACCGCTGCCTGCGGCTTCTTCGGCCTCTGAGACTGCCGCTGCGGCTCTAGGTTGGGTCGCACGTGATCCACATCGCTCAGATCGCGGGGTCGCCGGTGTTGCAGTGCGGAGCCCGCGCCGGAGCGGAGGAGCGCGCTCCCGCGCTCTCGCCTCTCTCTCTCTCCTCTCTCGGTTCGCGAGGTCGGACCCCTTGGAAGCCTGGCGCCTCTCCGAGGAGGAGACGTGACGAGAGACGAGCAGCATGCAGCGAGCAGAGCCGTGAGCGATTGGGGACGCGCGGGCGCCGGCGCCAGGAGCGCCTTTCCGGCAGCTCCGTTGCCAGGGCCCCGCAGAGGAGTGTGGGGGGGAAGGGAGCGGGGAGGAGATGCCACTCAGGTGGAGCTGCTGCTCTCGCGCTCCAACTTCACAGGCGCCTCCTGCAGAGTCCTTGAAGAGTCCTGGAGAGTCCCTGCCACGCGAGGCATCTTCATCTCTGCCCTGATGTGCATCCTCTATGCGGGCACCCCAACAACCAGCCTTCTTCATCCCCTCCCCCCAGTTCCGATCTTCGGAGCTCTTCGTGAGCTGAGCAGACACCCAGACACCGCGGAGGTCACCGCACTGCCGTCGGTCCGGCGGGCCACCTGCGTCCGGGGCTGAAGATGCTGAAGCTCTCCGCTTGCGGAACTGAAACCGCCTTAGGGCGAGCTAGGAGCAGAGGAGAGTGGACACTGAGCTCTCGCTGCAGTGCCTGGCGCGCCGCTGCGGCGGCTTCCGGCTCTTCCAGCGTGTCCGGCACCGAGAGACGGAGGGTCCCAGCCAGGAACTACCCTATAGCCGACTGCCTGGTTCGTTTCGGACGTTGTGGTACCTTTCAAAGATCTCAAACCAGTCCTCGCGAAGCCCTTCCTTGCTCGCTTCGGCCGGCCGGGGCGAAAGAGCACGCTTGCCTTTCACCGAGTCTGACGACGGAGCCGACATGCCGACCCCGAACTCGTTATGTTGAACAGTTGAACACCATGCCGTCGAGTACCAAGTACTTAAGAGCATCGTGGAGTCGATTGTGATCTAGTTTCTGGCCTTTGAAGCACAGTGGCGAAGCTTGGACAGTCTGCAATGGGATAACATCCCATGTCCCATGATGTAGGAGCAGAAAGCAAGATGCGAATAGGGCTCATCGCCGTGCAAGTAGCTCAGCAGGCTCAGCATTTGCTCCAGCTGCAGAGTCCCCTTGTGCCCGGTCGTAAAAGAACACCAGCTCAGTGCTCCAAAAACTCTTCTCTGCTTTCCAGTGCAAGTCTCCGACTGCGCGTGCAGCATGGCTCTGAGGCCCACAGCCTATGGCCAGTGATATATCTGCTGCTCCTGGTCCACGGCAACTCCCGGTCGGGTCCCCGAAAAGGGGCTCATGTGCCGCGACGTGCTGCTGGGGGGGCTTTGCCGGCTGAGGTTCGTCGTTTGGATGTTCTTCCCCTTCCTCTTCGTGGCCGTGGACCGGCTGCTGCTCTGGCAACGCCAGCGCTACCCGGCGGTGCTCAGCAGCGCGCGGGCGCCAAGCGGCTCGGGAAGAGACTCAGACCTCGAGCGAGATTCATTCGAGACGGCTCTCAGGCCCGGCTGCTCCTCTTCGACGTGATGCACCTCACCTTCGAGATCCCCGAGAGCTTCAAGTACCAGGCGCGCGCCGGCGCCGGGACCGCGTCTCACCTCTGACCGGAGTCGTCCTTGCGAGGCCGGGCAGTACGTGATGCTCCACTGGAAGGGCGAGTGGCCGGGGGCCCCAGCGACGGTCCCGCCCCCGCGCTGACTCTGCTCTTTTTGGAGCTGCCAGGCATCCCTTCACACTCACCTCGGCACCCGAGGCCTTGCCCCAAGTCCCTCCCCTTCCCGAAAGAAAGTTGGACAGTCTAGAGCGGAGAGAGCCACAGAGTTGCACACACAGAGTTGCACACACAGAGAAAGGCGCGAGCGCTGTGCGCGCCTTCCGTGTCTGCGAGGAGCGGCGCCTGACGCTCCACATCCGCGCCAGCCCGCAGCTGGACTGGTGCTCCGCCCTGCGCCGGCACCTCCTCGCGGAGGCCGCTCTGCCTGCTGCCTCTGCAGAGCCACAGAGAGCTCTCGGGGCTTTTCCGAGAGGCGCCCCATGCAGCCGCCGGCGGCACGGACCTCGCTGGGAAGCCAAGAGACCAGACTGTGACACAAAAGAGAGAGGAGCTGAGCGCGTGTGTCTGCGCCCTTTGCCCGGCCCTTTTTGCCCCCTCCTCCCCCCACAAACGGGAAGCCGCCACCGCCCGCTCCGAGGCCAAGGAGCCGGCGCCCGGGACGGAGGTCTGCTACGAGCGGCTCCAGCTCCCCAACGGCAAGGTCTGTTGCAAGGTGCGGAACTGGAGACCATGTTTTTGTTTTAGTAGGTCTCTGTGTCTGTGTTTGTGTGCATGTGGCCCGGACCTCTCTTCGCGCGCCTTCTCGGTGCATCTTTTTTTCCCAGGTCCTTGCGAACGAACAGCCTTCGGAAGTTTGCTTGATCCGATTTGCCGCCCCAGCGACTGAACGTTTCGACGAAAGTCTTAGACGTACGGTGCAGCGCTGGCTGCCCCAGAGCCAAGTGATTGAAGCGGTTTCGGGAAACGCCTCACGGAAAGTTCAGACGAGAATGAGACCGTCTCTTTACACCCAACTGCCTGAAATGTAGGGATGTCCGCACCTGGCATGCAAGCTGCAGCTCTTCCTCAGCGCTTATACTCCGACAGATCGACAGTTCTAGAATGTATGTTGATTGGGGGTTGTGACAGTCATGACTGGATGTGTCCTAACTTATTGGCGGGTGTTTCGAAGCCTCAGTGTCTGAATGCCGAACGCTGCCATGCTGCTGGAACACGCCTGTGGTGCCGCCACGGGGAAGGTAACATCGCAATTTGCGATTCGACACGCTCTTGACTGCCCTGCAGTGTGTATGAAGACACACTGCAACTGAATCGCATTGATAGTTGTATGATGGTGCATGGTGCTGGATGGTGCAGTCGGGTGGGCGAAAGTGTTTAAAGCCGGCGGGTTCTTGCTCCAGACATTGAAGTCTGCGGAAGGAATCGTGATTGAGTTGGCAGCGTGGGCTCAGCGAAAAGTCGGAAGCTGCCTTCGCAGCGGGAGAGAAACCCGATAACCGAAAAGAGATTTACCCCCCCCCTTGGGCGCACACATTGGGAGAGCATCATCTCGCTGATGCTAGTATCAGCCGAGGCGACGGGTGACATCGAAAAAAGATGGCGGCGTGTTTGGTTTTTGTGACTTCATGTAACAAAACGCACCGCAAAACAGCTGCATGGTGCATATTGTCACGAAGACATGGATAGACTGCTTCCCAAGATCCTTGCAAAGTGATTCAGATCGGCTGAAGCGAAAGGACAACGTAAAGATAAGTGGACTTGAATTAGAGCCATAATGAATCACATCGCACAGTCGCAAAGCATCGGAATCGGACGATAACGCCAAAGGCTGAAGCATGCCGCACATCTACTTGACGTGAAGCGTTCGACCTCAGTCTCAGTTCTGTGATGCATTGGAACGCTCGGGGCGGCGACCTGCCACGCAAGAAACGTTCAGTGCAAGCTTGGTCTTTCGCGCACGCATCATCTACTCACAATGCGTTGGACCCCGCCGTTCACGAAGCGGTCGGAAGCAAGGGAAAGCCACATTTAGTCAAAGAAGTCTCGAGCTGACGCCGCAGCTAGAACGTGCGGTCAAGCACTCGAACTCCTGGACATCCATCGTCTTATAGTTGGAGTCGAGGATACTGTCGCGTCCAAGAGGACTTCGCAACGTGAAGGGAGCCAACAGGAAGCCTTGCAACTCACCATGAGACCTGACCCGGCCCAAAGCGCGGAAGCTTCGGCCGTCAAGGAAAGCGAGCGACCTTGAAACAATCGAAAGAGCACACTACAGACTCGCAGAGATCCCTGAAATAAGGAAAACAACTGGGTAGACAGGACAGAAGGAGCAATCGACTTCAGCAAGATGTGCACCTACAGCCTCCATTTTGTTGCGAATAAACGCATTGTCTGCTGAGGCACCACGAAAGGGTACTTGCAGATTCCGGGAGCCACAGTACAAATCACTGCCTGGATGACCAGGCAGTTCTCTGAGTTGCCCCGCATTGATCGGTTTCAGTTTGTCGAGCCGGTGAACTTTTCCTCACCGGTCGGGGATGGTCCTCCCTCTTCTAGCCTCAACGCTTTTTCCACCACTACCACATCGGCTTTTTTTTGTCGGTTCCCAACCAAAGATCGATCTGTATCTGGCTAGTGCAAGGGCCAAGCAAATCCAGCGACGCAAACATTGAGCAACACTTTTTGTGATCAACGGATTCAAGTTAAGTCTTTCAGTACTGGAAAGGAAACACAGGAACAATATCGGCTTCAGAAGACGTGGACGAAAGGATCTTTGTGTCTTGTATCCGTCTGGTCTAGGAACTGCAACAATCTGAGAGCGCAAGTCGCGGGACGCTTCGCCGATGTGAAACCCTTCGGCGAGAAGCAGGAGACGCGAGACATCGGAATAAGCCGCACCCAAGCCGACCGCAAGAAAGAAAGGCTCCTTTCATCGGCCCAAGCCAGCCAGAAGAACACCCCCAATTTCGGCCCCCGAGCTTGAAAGCAGAGCTTTGCCAGTGACAGCTTCGGCAGCTTTCAATGTTCAGCCTTCAGCAGGGCTTCTACAGGGGTCTGCCAAAGAAGCACCGTTCGGCCTCTCTCTTGCAGAGCCCACATGTCTGATGTCGTTGTGAGCGCGCCGGAGAGGCTCAGCCGACGGCGCGGACGACCCTGAAGGCGGAGCCGGTGAGAGAAGCAGCAAAGCCTAGCTTGTGAGTGAACGCAAAAAATTTAGCCCTGTTAATTAAAGCACTGCGGAGCAGTGCACGATGCGGCTGCAACCTCTAGGGGCCCTAGAAAACCGGATTGTGAAAACGCCAAATATATAGAGCCCTTTTTAGAGCACTGCGGAGCCGGCACGGTGCGGCGGGTGGCAACCTCTATAGGGGCCCCTATAGGGGACCGGAATTCCTCTCTGATTGCACTTGGCAGGGCACGGGCTCCTCGCAGGAAGTCAGCTTCGACCTTCCCCGAGCTCGGCACCCGTGCGAGTAGATTGCAATGAAAGAATGGTGGCTTCCGTCGAAGGGCGGTTGCTGCGCATATCTGCGGCTGCCGAGGTGGAGGGTGCCGTCGACGCAGGGCACTCTGCAGGCCGCGAGCGGGTGGACTCCGAGGATTCCGAGGCCTTGATGCAGACCCAGGCCGGCTCTCAGTCGTTGCTCCCCCCTTATGTCTCCGGCCTGCGCGCATCCCCCCTGGCTAGAAAGCTCCTGCGGGCACGGTGGAGCTCCAGCCAGCGACCTGCGTCTGAGAGACTCTGAGAGAGAGAGAGAGAGAGAGAGAGAGCAGACGGAGTTGAGCGAAGAACGGGTTTTCGTTGATTTGCGCTTACTTGTTTTGTTGCTGGAAGACTGCTTCTCCGAGGCTCCAGGGGCCCTTCGGGGCCCCGGCCCAGCGCGTCTGGGAGTTCCGGACCGTCATGGTGGTCGGGGCCGGCATCGGCGCCCCTCGGCGCAAGAAAACAAACGAGCCTCCTTTTTGCCAGAGCCGTGGATATAGTTCGAAACGTATAGTTAATATCTAGAGAGCTCGCTCTCTCTCTCTCTCTCTCTCTCTCTGTGCTGATCTTACTGTGCTCTCAGAAGAGCGCCGTCAGGTCACCCCCTTCGTTTCCATCCTCCGCTCCGTGCAAATGCGGATGCAGCAGCAGCTGCTCTTCTCTGCGGCCTCGAGAGGCCCCCGCCGGCCCGCAGAAAGGGCCTTAAGAGCACATCCATAGATGCATCTCTCTGAAATGCTCGCCCGCACGTCTCACTTTGCGTACAAGCACGGCAAGGTGAAGACTTGGCAGTTTTGCAGGGTTCCAGGTGCATCCTTGATGAGCTGGGCCCTGTGTCTGTGCGCATCTCCGTGCTCCGGTCCGTGACATAGTCGTGCTGTCGTGCAACCGACGTGGCTTTTCACATCACGAACCGTTGCATCGAAAGTTCGCAGCAACTTGGATCAGCGGATCCTGCTTAGCTTTTGTTTTGCTCAGACCATTCCGAAAGCTTGGGAGCTTGTAGGATTTGTTCGTGTTGCAGTGGGATCGAAGGTGTGAGTTCGTTCGTTGCGCTGAGTTTCAGGGCAAGGGCAGCTTCGGATGAAGACATGGTCAGTCTCGGTCCCGCGCCGCGATTAATTTCAGGCTCGGTGTGCATTCAACTTCACGCGGGAGTGGTGAAGCTCGAGCCCCGAGTGCGCCGTGTGCAGCCTCGTTTGGCCAGCACAACCTTAATTACACGAGGTGTCAAACTTGCAAGGCGATTTTTGTCACATTCTCAACACCGGCTCCTCTTTCTGGCGGCAGCTCATCTTGTTCTTAAAAACCGGCACCTCACTAGGCGATGCCGCTTGGTCGAGAGCCCGATGGCGGTTGCTCCCAAACCCACTTCCCCACGAGGCGATGGCGGTTGATCACATGTTCTTAAGCCAGCCGCCTCACTACGCGACGGCCTTCCCCCTGATTAGGCGATGGCGTGTATCACGGTTGCTATGCCCACCCCTTCATCAGGTGACGGCGGTTGAGCACACCGTTTTGATTCCGCGCTCATCAGGCTATGCTGACTGCTCTTTGTTCTTCAAGCCGGGCCCTCATTAGGCGATGGCGGCAAAAACCGTTGATCACACCTCTTATTAAATCCGTCCCACCATTGAGCGATGGCGGTTGATCATTTTTCGTAAACCCAGTTTTTTCATTAAACGACGCACGATTTAAGCTCCGCCTCCTCATGAAGAAGCGATGCATGGCGGTTAACCACACCAACTACCACATGTAAAATAGGCCCCGCGCTCAGCGATGGGTTTTCATCACAAGGCTAAAAACGGGCCCCTCTTTAGGTGATTGCTCCGATCCCAGTTACCACGGGCCGCGCGTTTCGGCTACAGTGCCAGAACGGTTTCCGTTACCAAAGCCGAGGGGTGAAAGGACCGCGGCCTTCCTTCACCTCTCGGTTTGTGGCGAAATCCGAGGGGTGAAAGGACCGCGGCCTTCCTTCACCTCTCGGTTTGGGGCCAAAATCGAAGGGGTGAAAGGAGCGCGGCCTTCCTTCACCTCTCGGTTTGTGGCGAAATCCGAGGGGTGAAAGGAGCGCGGCCTTCCTTCACCTCTCGGTTTGTGGCCAAAACCGAAGGGGTGAAAGGAGCGCGGCCTTCCTTCACCTCTCGGTTTGTGGCGAAAACCGAGGGGTGAAAGGAGCGCGGCCTTGCTTCACCTCTCGGTTTGTGGCGAAA